AGGATGGTTTAAAGTCAAAGAATACTTCCCATTTTGTATATTATGGTTGTATATACTTTTTGTATAAGCACATACATTATTAGTAGCACTATCATCATATTGTATATAATCAAATTACAAGATATTCTGCTTTTTTATATAGAATTATCCACATGCATGGCAGAATTTTACTCAATATTGTTTTATTTATCTCATCCCTTTCTCTTGAAATCAATTTCTTTTTCTCAAATTGGTCCTTTAGATGTTAATCTAATGATAGAAAGAAGTGTTCTATTGACAGTAAGACTTGTTAGTCTAATTAAACTTGTCCTTATTTTACATTTTATTTCAATGGTGTTTTATTTAAAAGCTATTTGGCCAATATCTTATATTGCTCTTTAGAACTCTTCTATTAGTTTAATTGCCATTTATTTGTTGGTAATATTTACGACATTTTTTGTTATTTTTTAATCTGTCTTTTAAAAATATTTTCTATTATTGTTTCAAACGTTTTAATAATTATACACTTACATCTGGTTTTCATTAAATATATATTCAGTATATATGTCTTGTCATCATACATGTCTTTAATTATATATATCAATATATGCATATGTATACATTTTATTTTATATATATGTATATAGTTATTTACAGTAATTCTTCAATATTTATCTTGATACATTTTGCCAGTGTTGGAAAACTCTCAGCCATCATATAATTCAATATATAGATTTTTTACTTTTCTTTAACTTTTTTATTCTCACGTCATTTTCACATATATTAGAATGATGTACTTTTTCATTGTTCATCATGTATATATTATACATCTTTCCTATTTCACATGTTTATCTTTCTTTGCTTTAGTTGGGATATTTTCTTCCAACTTCCAGTTCACTATTTTTCTCTCTACCATGAGATGATATCTCATAAACCCATTTACTATACTTTACAGTTCCCAAATGTCTGTGTTTCTTTCTATAGTTTCCAGATTTCCAGACAAATAATTCTGTCTTGTATTTTATGTTAATATCAATCATAGTTATTCTTAATTGTGTATGAAAACTTTATCTGAATTGTTGGTGAAACTCTGTAATACCTTTTAATTTCCCCCTGGTTTTTCATCATGTCTTGTCTTCTAGTACTCTTCGTTATATTTTATTGAGGCCTGGTATTATATATGAAAAAAATTAGATGTAATTATAGGGTCTGAATAAAGAAGTGATCTCCTTCCAGAGAAGATTTACATTTGCCTCTGCCAGCAGTAAGGCTGGACTTTGGAGGTTACAGATCACTGCAATTCAAACAGGGATGGAGATGACTCAAAATTGGACTTAATTTCCTTTAAGAATTGATTGATTTCTGATTCATCCTTATTTAAGGGTAATGACTGAAATTTTGAACTTTTACCAGAGTTTTTCTTTGTGCATAAAGTTTGATTTTTGTCCCATTAGGCTCATAGGTGTGTGAAAAGCCCTGCTCAGCTTCCTTGCCTCTTAGCTCCTTCTTCCAATATAAACAGATACCCTTAGGGGAATGGAGCTGTAGTTGCTGGACTCGGCTTTCTGAGCGTCCTCTGTCTCCCAGATCTTGGTTCCCTAATTATTTTTATTTTTCTTAACAACTCTGTGGAGATTTTGATAAAATAATTTCTCATACTTTTTCAGTCGATTGCAGCAGGAGGGGTGGATGAGATGGAATATGTGGTTTGTCATTGCAATTAATGGACTTTCTTGCTTATTGTTGTATATGCCTGTGAACATATATCATTTAATTTTGGTCCCTATTTCTTTTCATCTGTCTTTCATATTTTCTTAATCCCTTTATCTTTCTGCTTTCTGAGTAGTTTCTTCAGGCTCATCCTTTCATTGACTAATTCTTCTGTTTGTTCTGCATGACTACACCATCATTCCATTACATTTTAATCATAAGGTACAAAAGGTTTTATTTCAATAAATTTTATTTGATCTTTTCTCAAAAAAGCCTGTAGGTTTTTGCAGTTCTAATATTTTTGATTCTTTTTTTTTTTTTATCTTCCAATCATCTTTAAGTGATTTAGGTGACTTTCTGTGAGATTCCATATTTCTGATGTTCTCTGGAGTTAATCTTATTATTTATCATGTCCCTGCACACTTTCTAAAGGTGAATTAGTTTTTATATAATTCTTAAAACTTAACTTGTAAGTTTATCTACTTGAGGGTTTTAAGTTGCGTTACCTAAACTGAATAGATGGTCCTGCAGTAGGATATTTTTTCTAGGACCAGGTGTCCCAGAAGTATTATAGCTTCAGACCACCATTAGTGGCACACTACTAAAGTTTCAATGAGAGTATTCCAAAAACCTAACAATAATATTATAATATATACTTGAGCATCAAAACTTAATATGGCACCAGTGGCTGTTTACAAATTCTCAAGGGATATATATTTTCTATCTTTGAACAGGCAGAGATTGACATATTTTACCTGTATTGGAGGTGAATTTCGTTCTAATTATCTCTTTCAATTAAAGATGTTTATTTGTGCATAAGAATCACAAGCACTGGCCTAGGGCTTTATGTAGATTCCCAATGTGCAAGAAAACCAAAGAAATTGTGTGAACCCCAAAACTTACTGAATTATTTCTCAGATTCTTGATTATTTTCTATCACTGGATTTTCCTTTTTTTGTCTTGGGATCTCTATGCATAAAAGTTATATTTTATCTAGGAATATTAGTTATATGCAGTGTCTATATTGCCAGAAACAAAATATGTTCATTCTTCAGGATGTGGTATTTGTTTAGAATAGAATTGTCATTCTTATTGTATTGACTGCATGCTTCAAATATAGTTAATAACAAATATAATTCTGTTTTTCTTGACAACTCAAATGTTTTCTCCCATTAATCACTTTATTTGGGGTGAGGATCAACTGTGGTCTAATATGAATTCAGCGGTATTCACCTTTATTATTTCTTTCTATGGGATAAAGTTTGGTGATTAATTAAACTTTTATTTGGGGGAGAGACAGAGTCTCATTATATTGCCCAGGCTGGTCTTGAACTCAAAGGGTCAAGTATTCTTCCAGTCTTGGCCTCCCAAAATGTTGGGATTACAGGTGTGAACCATCATGCTCAACTGATTGATTAAAATTTATCATTAATGAACATCTTTTTTACTTCAGATATATTTTACTCCTATTATAATTTTAACACCACCCTACAGGTTATCAACATTTGAACTTTTGATCAATATTGAATTAAATTTCCACATGAGCAATGACCATATATATTCTGTCAATCATTAAGTATCCTTAAGAGGTCGTTAATGTTCAGTTCCAAACAAGAGCTTTGTAAGGTCTTAAAATTACAAGAGACAACATTTAATTCATTTTAGTGCTCATATTTCAGAAAATAAACTGGCAGGTTTTATTTCTGTAAATCTGTTAAGACTTCCAGACACTTCACAGTGGTTCGAACATTGTTGCATTCAATGCATAATCAGGTGTTGCTAAGCAGCACACTATAACTTTATTATTTTAGGTAGCATATAAACATATTTTGTTTACTTTAACCCATGAAAGGTGTTTCTCTGATTTTTTCCTCATATTTAGTTTCTCCTTTTTCTCTTTCCTCAACAGTATAGTAAAATAGTAAAGTAGAGCCCTCAGTTTTCCCTTATAAAATAGAATAATAATTTTATGTATCCTTCTGTGGGCTTTAAACATTTATTGTACTATATTCAATCTTTCAAATATTTGTTCTTTAAAAAGTACTAATAATTGAACATATTAGTTTGACTTCATATCGTGGCTATATTTGGGGTATTTATTATTATTGTAAATGCATTGAAAAGTTGTAATCAAAGCAATATAGTTTTTAACCAAATAAAATTATTTGGCTATGGAAAGTCATGGAGTTTTATGTTTTGATTTATTAGCTTTAAGAAAATAACATATTTTCTAGATAGTTACATTTATTTCAGTGTATGCGTTTACAATACCCACTCATAATAGACTTTAGAAGGTAAAAGATACAATATATTCTTAAAATTACCTACATTTATTTTTCATCTGACCTTCCTCTTTTCTTTCACCTAGTAATATATTACCTACTAATAGAGGCTCTGTCCATGGTTTCTCATTTCCATGAAGTACACTTATGCCTTTCTAGTCCTGAGTCATCTCTGCTTTCTCCCATGAATGTATTGAAAAAAAAAAAAAAAAAAAAAAAAAAAAAAAAAAGAAGATAATTGTGGAAAATTCCTTTAAAAATACTCTTTTTAAAAATTTATTATATATGTAGTAAATTTGTTTAAAGTTTAATCTCAAAGTTAAGAAGCAAACTTTTAATGGAGACTTTAAAACAATGGTATAGAATTTATTTTAAGATAAAGTTATATTCTGATAATTGTGAATCAACTCTTCATTATGGCAGTGTATAATAAAGATGATTTGATTTTTCTATAGAGATAGAATTATTTAGTGTTCTCTTTATTCCTAATGGTAGTGTAAAGAGAAAATTTCAAGTAATGTTTCTGCTATGACCAATAAACTCATAATATTAAAAGTCAATGACACATGTAATTCTGATAGACATCTTAGTATTTACTCATGATAGAGAAAATAACCCAATTTCAGGTGCAAATATTAGACAAATTTCAAATGAGATTAAAGTCCCCAATTTTAAATGAAATATATTCAAGCTTTTTATTGATGAAAAAATTACATAGACTGAAGTGCACAATTCATAGCTCGTACTACTTGATGTATGTCCAAAACCTGAACACACCTATGTAACAAGTCCAAAGATCAAAAAGCAAAAATTTACCACTTTTAAAGCTTTCTTCGTGCTTTCTCTCAGTCACTATCTGTCATTGTTGGTCAGCACCCTATAAAAGATAACCACTATTTCTATTTCTGAAACTAGATAACTTATTTTATTTACTTCCTAGATCTAAATTGTCTTCCCATGGAAACAGTTAGTTTTATAAGCGATAGTTACACTTTTTCTGACAATTAAATGTTATTTCTCATTGAATAGGTCCAAAGTGGTACCCTTCTCGAGTTGGTCTGCAGCTAGAATGTGGTAAGCAGCATTTTTCACTGATGTGTTTATTTAATTTAGAATCCTTTTTCTATTTTCAAAAGCTGACATTCACTTATCACTTAGTAAATATATAAATATTAGTATATTTAATTGATTCTCCTAACAAACTAGAGCTCCACTTTTATAAATGAATAATTTAGTCTCAAAGAGGTATTTTTTACATATTCACTGTCCATGAGTTTTAGAAGCAGATTCTGAAATTAAAATATATTTTTGTCTGTGAAGCTTTAACTGGTCACCTTCTCATTCTACTGCCCCACCACATATTTTTAAGGTTAATGCTTATTTTATTCATTTTTTTTCTTTTTCTTTTTGCTGTTATAAAGCAGAATAAGTGACATAAGGAACAAAACTAATGAATTTGGAGAAGAAGCATTATGCCCACTGTTAAACCTCAAGTTTCTCAGATTTTTAAACCCTATGATCTCAAGAAATTTATCAATAAATGCACTTAAAAATGGCTCCTACCAATAATTACTGCTACTGACACTACATCGACTTTATTTTAAAATTGGAATTTTAAATTTTAATGAAAGCTGTGGGTAGCATGTACTTTTTTCAGGATAGAGTGCTGATACTTAGTAAAAGTCTTCGATAGTAAATCTGTAGGAGGTACCTCTTAAGGAATTTCAATCTCTCAATTTTTCGTAAATGATGAGTTGATTTTTTGTTTCTATCGTTTTTCCTAATATTTAGATTGTCCTCTCTCAGGTATTACATGCACTTAAAGACAAATGATTATTTTGTTGAGTGTCTCAAAACTGTTATGAGTGTTTTCATTGCTGTCTTAAACATTTAATCTTTCTCTGAGATCTGTGTGTTCAAAACAAACAACTATGCAAGATTTCTAGAAGCCACACTTTTTTGATTCTCTCAAATTTATTTTTGCTCAAATGTTCAAGACAAATTCCCAACTACCTAGAGTTTAAGAAAAAAAAAAAATTATTGTCTCTTTTTTTTTGCCTTCATAGGGCCTAGCACATTTCAGCACATGAATGCCTTTCAATACATGGATGTTGACATATACAAAATGTAATTGACTCTTACCCAAAGAAGCCTCAAAGAATGTCACACACAACATTGTCAAATGTAACTTCCATTTGAAGGACACTATAAAAGACTGATAAATTTCTGTTAGTTCAGTGCTCTGGTGAATATGACATATTCCTTTTCTCCCAAATTTATTTACCTAGTTGAGTGTACCAGGGTTGGATATGAGATGAGTAAAATGTAGTTGTCTATGTGTCCTTAAAAAGGAATGTAATAATGTATTTGAAAAAAGAATCAATTGATTTAGTGAGATATGGTGCAAAGAAATCAAAATCCAAAGCTCACTTGGATTGATTCAGATTTTTACATTTGATTGACTCTCTCATAGTTACTTGCCTACAGGGTCTTCTTTTATGTTGCAGAACTAAAAAAACACTGAAATCATTTTTAAAGTGTTAGAGTTCATATGTTTATAATGCATACGATGATTGGCACAGGCTAGTTGCTCCATCAGTCTTAGTCATAACTATTAATATTAAGAAGAAAAAAAAGACAATACAAAAAAAAGCAAGGTCTTAATATTTATACATGTTTGCTCACAAAATATACTTACTAGAATCATGGATCTTATATGAATATTAGAGACTTCTATAGTTTCCTCACAAAAAAGAAATCTTTAAAACACAAACAAAATAACAAGCATTGTTTTTCATGGGTAAAATTTTAACCAGTTCTTCAGCTCTGTGTCTCTGCTGAGCTGTGCTATATTTAGCTGAACTTGGCTAGGTTCATGCATGCAGCTGCAGTGAGCTCCTGGGCTGTTAGGGAATGATTAGTCTACAATAACCACAACTTTCATGAAATTCCCTTTGTTCTATGTGGTCTCTCACCTCTCAGCAAAATAGTTTGGACTTACTCACAAGCTGGGAGTAGAAGTATAAAAATGAGCAGAGATACTAAAGAATTGTTGAAGCCCAGGTTTGGAACTAGTAAATGACCGTTTGTCCCACAAGTCACTAGTTAGCCCATATTCAAGGAGTGGGAATATAAGGACAGCTATCACTGAGAAGAACTACAAGGTCATACTGTATATGGTGTAGATATGGTGAAGAATTTCAGCTATTTTTACAATAAATCTATCATATAATCTGGTAAGTAAAATGTTTTGTATCTTCCTACTTTTATTCATATGCTTTATAATGTCCTGGAAGGACTGGGTAAAATTTCTAATGTTTAAAATCATTGGATTTCTACATAGAAAATATAGATTTTTTTCCATCACTGTTTCCAAGCAATACATTAAAGCTCCATCCACATCCTTTATACAATAATCTTGACAAACCACTAGGTTTGTGGTTGGTTGTGTACCCCAGTTCCAGGCCCATACTTGGGAGGGACTATCGAAAGACTGGGTTGTGCTTGTGTTAATTTGGTCAGGAAATTCAGGGCCCTTAAGTGACTGAAGCATGATCTAGAAAAATACGTCATGGGATCTAGTTAGGCATGTCCTGTCCTCTTGGCCCCACACATTCCTCTCCCTTTGATAAAGGACATAATCATGGAAAGCCAAGGACAATGGTCCCTTTTTCTTGAGTCTGAGTGCTATGATTAATGATACATCTAGATTCCGTCAAGTCGTTTTTTCAAAATCTCATATCGATGGGACTACATTTTAAAAATAGAATGCCAATCTCTGTTCTTTGAAGTTGGCAAGGATGATAGAAGGGTAGAAACTAACCCCTTTTCTAAGTATGCTAATAGATATAATTGGAAATATACTTTCAGCACACTTTCAAGTGATACAAAGCCAGTTGAATTTTTTGTCCATATTAACATTTTCTTATTCTTATACATAATTGTCATAATAGTACTGACACTTTTGATATCAAAGTCTTCACTTTGATCCATATTGCAAAAATTTTCTATCACTATGTAACAAATTTGCACAAATTTAGCAGTCTAAAAAATCTATCGTTTATTAGATTGAAGCCACATTATGGCTTGATTCTCTGATTAGGATGTTATAAGACTGGAATGAGAGTGTTGACTGTACTGAATTCTCATGTGAAGACTCTTGACAAAAAGCCACTTCTATCATCTTTTGTGTTATTGGAAGAGTTTGTGTTGAAAATGCTTGTTCCCCGGTGCCACAAAGAAATAGCACTTGAACATAAATTTAATTCTTACAGCAAGGCAATTTTTACTTTCTGCAGAAAGGGTGCTCATGATAGATGAAATAATGGCAAGAGCACCTTTTTGCATTTTATGTTTGTTTGTTTGTTTGGTCTTTGCAGTTGCATGAGAGAAGTTCCTGTGTTCTTGCTGGCTGTCACTTCCTAGAGACTGCTGTCTTTTCTCAAAGGCCACCTGTACCCTTGACATTGACCTTCTCCATCTTCAAGCCAGCAATAGCACAGTGAATCTTCCCAATGCACTGAATCTCTGAATTCCTCTGTCTCTGATTTCTGCACACAGATTGTAAAAATTCATGAAATAAATCAGGACTACCTAGATAATCTCATTTTTAAAAACCATGCAATATAATTTAATCAACAGAGTAACAGCCTATCATATGTAGAATTTCAGGGATTATACAGGGAACAGAAATCCTGAGAATTATCTAAGAAATCTGCCTGCCACACATGTGTTCTTAGGCAAACACAGGACTACGTTCACATTTTCAAAGCAATACAAAATTATCTTTATATGTAATTACATATATATATGTATTTTATAAATAGTAATCAATTTAAATGAAATTTCTAAAATATAACTATAAAATGGTTTTCAATAAAGCACCCAAAGAACCATATACATTAATATGACCACCTAAATTATCTGGCTGTTAAAAGTGAATTTATCAAATTTCTGCCTTCAAATGTAACATACAATAATTGTATATTTTCCTTTCCTTTTAAAAGTCCTTTAATTATAAACGTAAGTAAATATCTTGGATTCTGAAAGATCATCTAATGGTAGATGCAAATTAGCATTTTCTTATTTATTTCAAAAATAGAGACTGGAATGATGCCTTTTAATGATGTAGATAATATAAATCACAAATAACATATGTTAAGTATAACAATAATAATAATAACAATAATAGGATTATATTTGAGAGATTAATCCATTTTGGTGTATGAGCTCTAGTCTACTCACTTTTCTTCCTGCTTGGTATACATTTCTTTAAATAAAACAAAATATATTTGTATCTTATCTTATTAAATAATATTTAAGTTTTTTCGAATATTTTCTTATAAATAGTGCTTAAAAATATATTTTTGTACTATCTTCCCATATACACATTCCAGACTTGTCTGGTGGTTATTTTTAAGAATGCAGTCAATTATGTTTATTTTACATCTATCTTATGAGTAGCTAGCTCCCTTCAGTAATCTTTGCTATATCTTTGTCTTACTATGTCTAAAGCCTGTAATACTGGAAACCTTAGTGTGTTTTCATTCTTGTCTTTCCAGCTCCATCCATGTCCCTACAAAGGACATGAACTCATTCCTTTCTTTCCATGCTGAATATACAAACAATTTCATCAAGCCCCATGGTTTTAAATGTTAATGACTCTCAAATATCTACACACACTTCTACCCTGCTGCCTATTTGTTGATTCTTTCTTGAATGTCTAAAAGATACCACACACTTAAAATACCTTAAAGACTCTTAATTTTTACCCTCGTACCTTGCTTTTGCTGTAGTCTTCTTCATGTCAGTTAATGACCATTACAATGCACTTAAGTACTCGGGCCAAAAATCTAACTGTCTTTACCTCACTGAATCCTCTGTTCTCAATCAGTTTATTAAGAAGTTGAATCCAGACTATGTTCAAAATATATTTACAATTGATACATTTTAACATTTTCACCAATACCACCTTAATCCCAACAAAAGATCAACTCCAGCTGGATTAATTTTAAATGTCTCCTAAATAATCACCTCGCTTCCCTTCTTTCTACTTTTCACACAGCATTCAGAATATATTTTAAAAAGATAAATTATGCCATTCTCCTGGTGTTTTGGAGGGACCATTCATCTATCCACCTCTAATTTATACTATTATAAAATCATTTAGAAATAAGTTGAGATGTCATTGTACTAACACTCAAAATTATACTTTTTGTTGTTTTATTTTGTTTTCATTTTGAGGCAGGGTCTCACTTTGTCGCCCAGACTGGAGTGCAGTGAAGCGATCACAGTTCACTGCAGCCTTGACCTC